CTTTAAGACGCGTTTCCTGTTAACGCAGTGTGACCGGTTTCCAACTCGGGGAAGTTGCACTGTTGTCTTATTGCTGCTTTAGAGCTAAATATTTGGCTATATTTTCCAAAACACAGACAGCTCACTGGCGTGAAAGAAATACAGGTCTTAATCATCAACTGGATCTGAAATAACATTGAAAAAAAAAAAGGCAGAATAACCAATACCTTCCAAACTGATAGCAAATATTTGATTAATCTACCTTAAAAAAACAGCAGTGTTTAAAGTATGAGCTACTGCCTTTCCTTAATAAATGCAAAGGATACTAGATAGTATATCCACATTTTATCTCTGCTTTTAGTTCTCTAATTTTATAGCACAAAGACTATATTCCAGTGCTATAGAAACTGGACTGGCCTAAGTTGCCTTTCTGTAAAATGCTCCAAAAAAAAGCACTGGAATTAAAAATTCACTGTATTTACTCTCACAATACAAACTAATTAATCTATGAACATAAAAGCATGCAAGTTCTCAGAGCACATAAAAGACTTGTATTAGTGACACTTTAAGTAGTTTATTCTTTTAAAGCAGGTCATTTCCTGAATTAGACATTCTGAGTGAACTTCTTTGTACTGCACTAAGCTAAGCCACGTTCCTCACTTCTGGCAAATAAGTTGTGTTGCATCAGTTACCAATGACCTGGAGAAGAAAAATAAAAAAAAGAACCAAAGAATCAGCATTTTCTTTTCACTATGTCCCATCCGCCGTAGGGGAAGCGCAGAACATCTGAACTATCCAAGGGAAAGGATTCCTCCATCAGTACTTGAAAAATCACATCAGAGCTTGTGAAACTTGTAAGTAGCATCCCCCCTGGCACCACACACACATATTTTCCACCTATCTGAAAGGCACCTTCTATTTTCTGCAATAGCGGTCACACTGAAACCTGTCCCTGCTTTTGCCCATTTTCTTCAGAACAGCTTCTTTAGTTCACTGCTCAGTTTCCCTATTACCAATTGGAAGCTGCAGGAGGAAATAACACAACAGCAGCAATCATGAATTTAAGCAATGGAACACTCACTTCCTTAAAAATGTATTTGACTCAATTTGTTTTCCAAAACTAACTCTACCCAGTGGAGACCACCAATATCATAATTTACATAAATACTTTGCATTCCGAGTTTTTCATTTACAGTTTCTCACAGGCACATCTGAGTATAAACAACCACAAATAAACTAAAGGAGATGGCCAGTTTCAGTAGCAGGGCAGAGCTGCGAGCTGTGTTTCAATGAAGAGGCATCCCTGGGCTACACGGGGCAACCACAGGCATTTGAAAGGAAACACAGTAACACTGGCTTCCTGTGTCACTCTTAACTCTTCATATGCTTACTGTAGCCAATTTATTAAAGACTACAGTTAATTTAAGTCAACCTGGAAATGGACTGCTGAATCCCTCTAAAAGCTGCTAATTTCAAGCAACGAGTCATAATCAGACCTGTGGCTACTGTCACTCTGAATGTTATTTCTGCACTAGAGCCAATAAAGTTCTCCTAGAATTTGGGATACTGATGGTAACACAGCACCGGTATCTTCAGTTTTATGCACCAGCTCTGCAGGTATCCTTTAACCCATTACACATCCCCCAAAGGGAGCAGCCACAGATTTCATTAACAGACAAGGGGATCTGAGAAAAGGCATAAGGCATCGTAACTTATGTTTGTACAGAGCCTATGAAAAAGTTCCTTTAATTTCTATTAGTTCCACCTCTCCTCACTGCTCCACATTACTATAAAGTAGCCTCTTTACAAGCAAATATCTGCAGCACTCAGCACAGACACAGGGGTACTCTAAAGAATGCAAAAAAAATAGGAAGAATAGAAAAAAAATGTAATTTATTTCTTTTTTTAAAAAGCACAGTGAGCTAAAGATTCAAGGTTCAAAACCTGCTTCTCAAAACTGTTAGAAGAGTTTAAGTCTCTGATCTAAAAGAAAACTATTCTAATTTTCTACCCATTTTGCTTGAGCTTCTATCCAGAAACATAACATTTTAAACCTGGTTGCAAATGCAGTAATGTAATTACTTACACATTTTCTTCCTTCTAGCCAAGGTCTAGATCTCCAGGAACAGCATCACAACTTCCTTTTATTACTGTTTCTGCACTTGCTTTCCCTTCTCTTTTTTTCTGTCTCCTTTTGTCCCTCCATCCCTCTAAAACTGCCATCATCCTGTAATTTCCTTTTAGCACTGCAGATCTGCCTTAAACACAACAAACAAACAAACAATACTTATTTGCTTAGCTTCTCCCAGATTCTTCTCCCTTCCTATCAGATAAACCTTCTAGATAACTGTGGTCTGGAGGGCAAATTGCGCTACTGCCTGGAATTCTAATTTATTCACCATTTGCCCTGGCAAGAAACCACTTCCCGCTTTCCCAAGAACAGTGATTTTCAGCTTGAAAGCCCCAAATGCTCTTCTGTCCTCTGTCATGAACACTTTAATTAAAGGATGATACTGTCTATAGATCACATACACCATTAGGGAGCTAAACTCCATAAAGGTGGTTTGGGGGCAGGGCAAGTGGTTTTCTTTCTTTTTTTTTTTTTTCCTGAGGGGAAGAATCCATAAAGACATTCATGACAAATTTTCTTGAAAAAGTTGGAAACACTCTGAACTTTACCAGAATTACTCCCAGTAGCTCAAGTTAAAAAATAAAATAAAATAAAAAGCAGAGAAAGTGATAAAGAAAAAAAGAAAAAATTCCCAAAATATTCATATCTTCTCAGATATAAATATATAATTGAAGACATCAATACCTTCTCAAGAAAAAAAAACAGTATTCATATGAAAAGGAATTATAGTCTTGTTAAAATGAACTCCATGCTTTTTTAAACTGTAATATCATGAGTTTTTGAGTAAATGAATGCTATTATAGCTGTTATAAATTGTTAACGTCAGCACACGGAACAGCCAAACCTGCTCCCTCTCAACATCACAGTGCACAGGAGGTGGCAGGACACAATAACAGTTTTTGTACTAAGGAGCACACAGGCTTTGCCATATGAGGAGAGAAAACTACCCTGCAAGATAAATTATAATGCACACAGTGCTTCTGAACTATTAATATATATTTCTTCTTTTATTTTTCCCCCCTTCTTTTTTATTGCTCCCTAGTGAACTGACTATTAGTTACCAGTTGTCCTAAATCCAAACAGTTGATGTTTTGTGTTGGTTAGGCCTCTTCCTCTTTCCTCTCTTTCCTTCCCATCCCACGCCACACACCCGCTCCCAATCCCCCTAGCCCAGAATCCCGCGTCATGGTGCCTAATCCCGCAGCGGCACCACCACAGGCATCGCATGTATAATCTGCCCAGCAGCCCGACTGGAGAGCAGATGGCTTTGCACAAAGTGCTGCTTTAAAAAAAAAAAAAAAAAAACTCTTTCATCCAAACTGGAAGGCTTCACAAGACCTTGATTTTTACCAAGCCGAGTTTAACCTCAGCACTGCACAAGGTTGGTAGGTGCATGTTCATCAGAGTTGCTGTTTAGCTCACGAGGAATTTTAGAACTTCAGCTTCCTTCCAAAAGGGATAAACACAGCTGCACATGGATAAACCAGCCTATATTAATTCTATATCCAATTGACCTTGATACTTGAGGTGAAAACAAGCTAGGGGAAAAGGGCAAGAAAAGGGGGGGAGAAAAGAAAAAAGAAAAAAGGGCAAAAAAAAGCTTGCAAGCAGCCAGATAAGAGCTAACTCACATGTTTTTGCTTATCCAAAAGAGTTTTTAGGGCCCTGAAGTAAATGATGCGACTGAGGATTCTCTGTAACTTTCTGACACCAGAGAAAAACTGAGGAGGCAGGTCAAAACTTGTGCCATAATTACCATACTCATGTATTTGTCATATTTCCCATGAGTAAAACCAAATGAACCTCGCCTCTTAGAAGCATTTATATCAGCAGCTTTCTTTGGGTGGAGCAAACAAGCCGGAAGAGTAAATACACATTAACTCTTATTGCCTCACATACCAAAAATAAAAAATGTCTTGAAAATATGGCTGCTTTGGGCAGCTCCAATCCAAATATCGACATTAGCTCACATTTAAAGTCACAGACCTCAATACAGTTTATGACAGCTGGTTTTCAAGTGTGCTGCTCCATTATTAAAAATAGTAACCCTACCAGCAACAAGGGGATGCCAGAGATCTTAATAACGTGTAATACATACTCGTTACGGGGAGTTTTACATTCAACAAGTTAACCTTCCAAGATGTCTAGCAAGTAAAGAAATACGATTTAATTTATTTTTCTTTCTTCTTTTTTCCTCGAAGGAAAAAAATGTTAAATTTGAGCATCTCTTGGCGGCTCTACATCCACAGCAGTATGGATGCACATACAGATGTACATCCCGACTTAAATTCAACAAGGCCAAGTAAAAAAATAAATAAATACATAAAAGAGACGGAAATAAAGACGCACTTAACGTGACTTCACAAAAAATAGATCTGAAGTGAGGCCAAGAAGGGAAGATACGGACAAAGATATCCACGCTGCTGGCTGTGGCCAAGGGAGCCCCTTCCCGGAGCAGCCGCCGGCTCCGGGCTCCGAGGCGCCCGCGA